GAGGATCATTTGATGCCAATATGAAAGCCAAGGAGAGGAGGCAATTATGCACACATCACATGCATCCTAGTTTCAGTATGGAAGCTTACATTTCAAACCTACGTTCAGGAAAATAACATGAAAAGTTTTACTACAAAGTCTAGACATGAGGAGATTTAAGAGGAGAGGGAGGAAGCACATTGCAGGTGTCAGATAATCTAGTCTGATTATCTGAGCTGTGCTAGCTATAGGGGAACACTTACCCTTCAGTCCAGCTAGAAGTTAGCAGGGTAAGAAGGAACAAACCAGAATAACATAAAGACTAGCAACAAGGCTCAGGAAAGCAGACAGGAGTTCTAACCTAGCAGCTAAAGTTCTTGGGTTTGAGCAAAGACTGAACAAGAAAACTTAAATGAAACAAAATAAAACAAAAACCAAAATCAACCCCCCCCAAACCAACAGTAACCAAGACCCCACTAACTGTTGAAGGCTGTTTGGGTGGTAGTAAAAATAGAACAATTCTCAAAAACATCTGACTTTGGGGATGTATGATGTGATTAACAGTTATTAGTTGAGAAACAGACATTAAAAGGAGACTAATCGCAAGTGATACATCAAGTAATCACTGACCAAAGAGCAAAGCTTAAAATGCCCCCTTCCCCCACTCTGAATGAGAATGGAGGTACGGGTTTTCACTGTTCCTCTAACACAGACTGGACAGGAATCTGGTGTCTTGATGAGAGGCCACATGGCATAAGAAATTGTGGCAGCACTCAACAACAGATTTGAACACAGTTTCCAAGGTGAGCAATATTGGCCTTATTAAAAATTGGAAAATCGCAAATATTTGTTTAAAAACGTTGTATAGCTAGCCACTGACTTAATTTTTTCAAGTTTAAACCAAAATAAAAGGGGAAAAATTAAATCAACAACAACACACACCAAAAAAAACCACAAAAGAACAAAAAAGTTTTAAAGTTTGGTGGAACCCTCCCCAAATCATTGTAGAGTCACATACAAACTAATGAATAGCAGGATCTATTTTTTCGGTTTTTACAATTCCATATAAATACTCCACTCCACTCTTTCTTAGACGTGTCTTTTCATTTTAAAAATTGCAAAAAATAAAAACTGCACCCAGAAGTCTGTCAAACTGAATTTAGAAAGACCCAAATAAACTCATAATTACTCCCGAGCTTCCCAAACTGCAAAATGTTCCATTCTCAAGTTTCCCCTTAAGCAGACAGCGACATGACAAGACTGGAGTGTTTATTTTTCTCTACCCGAAAAACCTCTCCCATTTTTCTGTAGCTTCCCTTTGCCAACTAAGACTAATAAAGGGATTACAAAAGTTAACTCACTGAAACGTTCTTAAAAATCATTCACTTGCAAGAATGGCAAAGACTTCGAACAAATATTCGAAACCAGGATTTGATGAAATGTGTACAGGACTAGGTATTTAACAATGACCCTTACCTTTTAGAAGTCAAGGAAACCTTTTTAAAATGCAATACTTGATTGTGTTTACTCTTTGTGTTATAGAACATGTGACTGAATGTTTATGATGTGACATTATAGTCTGAGAAGCAGCTATCAGTGATGGATCAAAGTTTGCTGTTTATTACTATGTTGTGATTGTTTTTCATTTCCCTAGAACCTTGCTTTGTTGTGCCAGGTGACCAACCTGTCCCAGTTTGCCTAGGACCAAGGAGTTTCTGGAGACACAGAACTTTCAGTGCTAAAACCAGGGAATTTGCAGGCAAATCTGGATAAGGTGGTAACTCTTAAGTATGAATCAACCCTGTGAGTTTGACTGCTACCCACAAATGAGGCCTGATCTGTTTAATAGGGATGGTTTGAATTTAACAAATTAAATGCAGCTGTAAAGTAATTGTGACATAACCACTATTCTGTAACAGATTCCAGTAAAAATTAGGATATACTCTCAAACCCCCAGCCAGTTTTTGGTTGTAATGCATCACTAACTCAGTGACCCCAGGGAATGCAGAGCTCCTTTTTCCTTTTTTGATCTTTATCATTGGTTTTATATACACCTAACTCCAAATGATCAGGTGCAGAAGGCTAGGTTGGTTAAAATTCTGACTGGATTCCTCTGCTAAATTGTGGGAACAGAAGGCTCATTTGCTGGTACTCTGGTTGCAGTTTTTATTAAGAGCCTAAACTAGCAATAGACAGAATCTGGAGTGGTATTGAGCCTCTGTTTCAGGAGTAGTGAAGTAACTATGGGATTACTGGGTTCAACATTATTGGATTGAAGCTCCACGTAAGGACTGTCATTTATTACAGGGTCAATGGTGCACAGTTGTGCAGATCGGGCACGACACAACTCAATAGGCACCATTCACATTTTTGTGTGCGTGAAAAGTGACTAATGAAGTGCACAGTCTGCACGGATCAAAGTGGTAGTTTTTTGCTTGTAAAACCTGGTAGGTGTGGTAAGGCCTCGCACTCTTTGGAGAAACCTTGTTCCTCAGCAGTGATTAAGGAGACAAGAGAGAAGGTGGTTCCACCACCAGGTACTGACAAATTTCAGAGGCATGAATTATCTTACTTTCTCACTCATCCCTCAGTCTACCTCCCATGTTCTCTAGGGATGATATTATCCACCCCCCCAAATTCTAACCCTTAGAATTCTGCTTTGGATGCCCCATTTAATACAAGTTCCCTATGTCAACTAGGGTGGCAAAATACATCAAGCTGATGTGCACTCAATTAAATCTTCCTGCTGATGCCTTGTGTTCAGCATTCTAATTTCATTGCTGAATGAATCCTATCCACAGAGGGAAATCTAATCAAGAGCCCCTGTGTATTTCCATAAGGAGACCCCATCCCCTCCTTACAACCTCCTTCAATGGTCTTCTTTTTTTAAATAAGTGTTTGGTTTCCATTTACTTTTACTCCTGAATTCCTTCTTCTTTCCTATGCTAGTGAGGAAGAAGTGAGGCTAATCACAAAGGAAGCAGTAATTTCTTGATCTGGGCAGATGATAGAACAGAAACACTGAAGGTAAGGTGGAATGACTTCAGAAGAAATTGAGATTTTTTGGAAATAAAACCAGTATTTTCCAAATACCACCTGAGATACATGTTCTATGAGGTTGATTTGGATGGTGATTATAATTTGGAATCCCCACCCCCCCGATGTACAGATAATTTCATAGGATGTGTTGTTTCTAAATTTATTAAAATGGGGCCTCTCAGGCAAGGTGAAGGGATGGATTCCACCACAGAGTGGTTTTTAAAACAAACTTAATAAATATTGGGGTATGCTTTATCTCAACTAATGACTAAACCAATGCAAAGAGATGTTGCCTTCTCTCTTTATTGCTCTCAAGTAAACCTAAGTTTCCCAAATGTTAGAGAAAGCAAGAAGAGTGTGGGGAAGTTGGTGGTGGCTACGGTCAGGAGGGCTGTCCCTTAACCCAAAGTCCTTCCTCAACCTCCTCCTCCTTCTTTTATGGTTTTCTACATAGAAACCCATGGTGATTGTGTGATTATCCACAATGTTCCATGGGGAATGTACCTTCCTTTAAGAAGCCATCGGTACTGGACAGGAATTTCTGGGAGCACCCGATGGAGAGTATTTCTCCTCCAAAAAGAATTGTTTTCCCATAAGCAAGGGAGTTACAAGGTTTAAGAACATAGTTTGTTAGAAAGGGACATGGCAATGGAATCCATTGGAGAGAGAATTCACCTCTATTTAGTTGTGTTGCTGCAAAATCATTTGAATCATATGCACATTTTGTTTAGGAGCGACAGGGAGAGACCATGTAGAAGTGCTGGGGTAAAGGTCAAGTTTCCATCCTGGGCTTTTGTACTTGCTTTCCCACCTGGTACAGTTCTCTTTTCCAAGGTACATGTGGAGCTGACTTCCTATCGTTTGGGCTTAAGTTCAGATCATGCCTCTCCACCCAGTCACCACTGCATTACATTCTTTGTAGTTTCCAACGTCTACAATGATCTTATCTGTTTTTTGATTTGTGTGCTGGCTAGATACCCCCACGGGGATGGACGTATCCTGAACACGGGGATCTTGTCTGTCTTCCTCATCTGTATGTCTCATCATCTATACAGTTGTCTCTGTGAACCAGACCGAGGGGGCCCAGGCTCAAGTAAGGAATCATCATGACGATCGCTAAAAATGACTTGTACCTGAGTGACCCTAACTGACCTGATATTCTGGGTAAGAGAGAAGTCTCTAGTTAGGGTTAACATTTGTAACTAAAACGAATTACTTTATTTGGTGCTGTATGTTTCCAGTGTTTCCATTTCCTTTGCTTTAATAACCGCCTCCAAGCGTATGCTGGATTTCACCTTGCCTTGTGTATCAGAAGTGTTGAGAGGAAAAAAAAAAAACTATCCCAGATAGCAAAAAGTCATGGCAAAGGGGCAAGAAATTAAAATGGATGTAGAGGTAACAGGAGAAAAAGCTAGAAAATGAACCAGAGCAGTTTAAAGAGATGGTTTCATTTTTGGGTCCTGGTATATTTGCTCAGAATGGGATTTTAGGCACCATTTTTTTTGTTTTTTTGTTTCTTTCCACTGCATGTGATAATGTCATCATTTATTTTTAAATGTTTCTAAGTTGCAGATTTAAATTTATTTCGAATCAAGCCCTATTTTAAAATTACTTTTAATAGGAAGAAATGAGTCAAGGACATACATAACCTACTATATTTGAAGGACTCAAACAAATACAAGCCTGACTCTGAATTCCAAACTCTCACCAAAACAAAGAGATAAAAATCCACCTAAAATATATTTTCCTCTGTTTAGTCCTTGGGGGGAAATGTCAAGTATTGCACTTTAAAATTACTTTCATCTAACATTTTTGTCCCAACTCCCCCCCACCCTACCCTGAATTCATCTTTTTTTTTTTTTTCCCTACCAAACATGTTTTATGAATCCTTAACACAAAAGCAACTAGATTTTTCTAATTCAACTTTGGAAAATTTATTCTCCTCTACAGAGCTATTTTTAACAAATGGCATATTTACTTACAAAATTGGGAGATGGGGGCGTCCAGCTGAGGCACGTTCCCTCCCTTAGCGTTGAGCTTCTGGACTTGGGTCGGGGGCACAGGCTTGTGTGACTGCCCAGTGGCCCGATACATGGCTTGGACCCACAAGATGCGATCTTGCTCGTCATCACTTGCAAATATCACGGTGTCTCCTTCTTTGACTGCATTGAAGAAGGCTCGGCCACCCTCTAAACCTGGAATACAAGGGAATAAACACTCCTAAGCTGAGCTGCCATGTTCTTAGAGGAACCAAGCCCTGAGAAAGGCCATTTCTGCTGCTTTTCCTTGGGCCAGAGAATGGAAGAGCAATTTATCTAACTCTAGGAGGGTAAGTCTGATACCCACTTGGCCACAGAGTGAAGCTCATAATGTTAAACAGACGTTCTGAGACTGGCTCTTGCCTTTGTCTTTGTCTGACTGGGGACAGGAATGTCAAGTAGGCTGCTTGGGTAGATATCTACCTATAAGCACACTATTACTTTTCTTCATCTTTAAAAACAAACCACCACCACCACCAACAAAAACATCACTTGACCCTACCTCTCCCTTCAGCTACGGTCCTATTGCTATTCTCTTTAAAATATAAGGGGAATCTCTACCAGGGTTTCTTAAAATTTTAGTGCCCCTGTGAATCCCAGGGGCATCTTGTTGGAATGCAGCTTCTGCCTTGGTAGGTCTGGGGTAGAAGCCTGAGAACCTGTATTTCTAACAAGTTCCCAGAGGATGCAGATGGTGCTGGTCTAAGGACCACACTTAACAGTAACAAAAGTCTCTCTCCTAGTCTGTCCTAAAACTTCTTCAATCAGGCTGCTGCCCCATTGAAACTTGTCAAGGTCATCAATGACTTCCACAATGCTGAATCCAAAGGTCACTCAGAGTCTACATTTTATTTGATCCATGGACCTATCAGCAGCATTTGACACTTGATTCTCTTTGAAACACTTTCTTCACTTGGTTCCAGGTTACCCAGTTTCCTCCTTCCTCCCTGGAGGCTGCTTGTCAGTCTTGTTTGCTGGCTTCTCTTCCTCCTCCTAACTGTTAAATGTTGTCGCATCCTGGTGTGTCCCTGGACCTCTTCTCATCCCCAGTGAGGCCATCCAGTCTTAAAAGCCATGAATCTGCTTATAGTCCCTACATTTCTATCTCCAACCTTGACCCCTCCTGTGAACTGCAGACCTGTACATCTAATGGTGTTCTTGACTTCTTCACATGGGTATCTGATAGACACCCCAAGCTCATCATATCTGACACTGAACTCCTGGTCTTTTTCCCAAACTCTCTCCAACTCAGTAAAGCTGAGCTTGTCCCTCTAGCTGCTCAAGCCCTCAAACTTGGGGTCCTTTTGGACTCCTCACTTTCTCTCACTACCCACTTCCAATGGAATTCTGAGAACATTCTACCAGAATTCTTCCACCTGCAGTGCTTCCTGAATCTAGTCATGCTCATCTCTCACCTGGACTATTTTAATGGTCTCTCCTATCTTATCTGCCCTGCCTCATCCTCACTCTCTATAGTCAATTCTCAATGGCAGCCTAAGTAATCAGTTTAGCAAGAGTCAAGTCATGTCACTCCTCTTCTCAAAACCTGCCAGTCATTCCTCATTTCACTCAGAGGAAAAGTCTAGGTTCTGACAAGGCCTGCAAGGCCCCCTGGATCGACCCGCCACTACTTCTACTCTTGTCTCCTCCTACTCTCTCCTTAATGCATAGATACACATACTTCTTGGTAGCCACACTAAGCTCTTGCTGTTTCTTGAACACTTCAGGTATGTTCTCATCTTGAGACTTTTGCACTTGTTGTTTCTTGTGCCTAGAATATGCTTCCTCCAGATATCTGCATGGTTCACATCAGCACCTCCTTCATACCTTTGCTCAAACATCGCATTCTTGTTGGGTCCCTCCCTGATCTTTACCCTTGAGTCACCATCCCTCTTATCTCGCTTATCACCTTCTAACAAGCTATATAATTTACTTAACTTCATAAGGACAGGGAGTTTTTGTCTGTTTTGTTCACTGCTGTATCCCTAGTACCTAGAACAGTGCATGGTATATAGTTGGTGTTTAGCAAATACTTGTTGAATAAATGAATGCTCTACAGACCTGTCTTTTTTCCACAGGCAGCTCTCAAGGTTAAAATTTGGAGAGAGGTAGGTGAAAGCCTTTTTGGGCTCAGGCCAAAGCGACATTGTGTCTGTCAACATACTCTAAAAGATTGCATTTTAGGGTCACTGGATACTCTCTGGCTAGAAATAAAGCTTCCTATCTTTATCAGATTCCTCCTCATTCTCCCAATTATCGGTTTAATACCGAGAGGAGAATGAGCAGAGTGAATAGCACCCCCAAATTTCCAACAATGCCCTGTCACTAGCCTGCTTGACATTTGGCACTGGAAGATTTCTGGTGACACTAAGACTTCTCCATGGTGCTGATAATGTTAATTCAGGTGCCTATTCATTGAGAAGGTGTGTGTTGGGAATTCTGCACTTAGAGTTGCCAGGGACTCTAGAACAATCAACAGCTACTTCTTCATGTGGAGGGTTTAGTGCTAAGCCATTTTTAACAAAAGCTTTTTGGTAGTTAGGATTATGAGAGAGCATTTTGCCTAATTCCTTATGGAGGGTTTTTAAATGTGTGGTTTGGATAGGATGATGTACAGTTAGCAAGCAGGGAAAACCTGATGAGATGAACGGGCGGCACGAGAAAAAGGCAAATCTGGAAGGGAAAGGAAGAAGAGCTTTGAGGGAATGCTCTAAGCCCTAAAAAGTGAACACGAAGGAGCTTAAAGGAAGAGTGAATCAACAGACTTTCTGCAGCCTAGCCTTATGGTAACTTTTGGGATAAGCCACATCGATACTGTCAGTGAATGCCAGGCTCCCCATCACTGGAGGTGACTCCCCCCTGCCCACTCCCCACAGCTGGGGGTGGGGATGCCGTGTTTCCGGAGCTACGGTCAGAACATAGTTCACGGGATTGCTCTGGAGAGTGGAGAGGTAGAGGTAGAAAGATACTAAGCAATTTTCAGATTGTTATTCGATCCTCCCAACGGTGCTATGAAGTAAGTACTATTATTCCCATTTTATAATGAGGAAACAACCACAGAGAAGGCTATGACTAGCCGATACACACAAAGCAGGGCTGTAAGCATCAGAGCTGGGCTTCTAGCCCCACTGTCTGGCTCCAGAGCTGACAACTGGACCCCTTGTGCTGTTCGGTTGCAAAGCTGAGGAGCATGGCCTGGCGCACGGTGAAAGTGCTCTGAGAATTACCTGTTAACAACAGAATGAAGCCTAACTGTGGTGTGAGTGGAGCACAAGGAGAAATATCGAAAGTGGCAGAAGCTGGGGAAATGACAGCTGCGGAGAGCAACAGAGCTATTTCAGACGGCATAGGAGACCAAGGGCACGCCAGTGAAAGCAAGGAGGGAGCAGAGAAAACCAGGGGAGGAGGAAGCCAAGTGAACATCGGCACATGCTCGGGCAGCAGAGGTTTCGACAGGGCAGCTATTCCTGGGGACTGGATCTGTAGACGGTGATGTGTGACAGGGCGAGGGCTCTTCCTGGAGGACGTGGCGCGCAGCCCCACAGGTACCAACCTGTCAAGCACAAGGCGACAGGTCTGCAAAAGGACAGAGGCAGACCAGGCAGGCAGGGATTGGTGGCTGGTTCCTTGTGGGGCTGGGGCGGGGGCACCGCTGTTCCAGCAACCTGCTGGATGGACACAGTCTGTTTATGATGGGAACACTGTCCAAGGTTTAATGCAGTTGTTTAAATTGTGCTGTTGGATTCTTCTGAATATCCTTTTATTTAGACTGAATGACAGTCTAATAGGACTTGAGAGATTACTGTATACTCTCCCAACCATACCCAGGGAAACTGAAAGCGAAGCATTTTCATTTTTAGCTTAAAATGAGTAGCCTGGATGGAAAATTCACATACAATTATTTACTGATTCCCCAAATTAATATTTCAAAGATTCTAAACAGGTGGGGTTGATTTGGCTCACAGGCTTGTGTCTGGGCGCCCATTTCGACCCGAGGCCACTACGGAGGCAAGAACACACACGCCTGCAAGGCTACCTACCCCGTGAACAATTTCCGCCTGTTGGTTCCACAGACAGCCTGCAGAAAGCCAAGAGCAGGAGAAACAGGAGGGACTCAGAAGTCCCCCCCACCCCCGTGCACACTCACCTGTCAGGGAGAGGTTGAGGAGATTTTTCCAATCTCTGAGGACAGTGGCTAAATTGTGCATGACTTCCATCTCCAGCTGGTCAACTTGACTGTGCACAGGAATCCTTGACTGTTCTTACTTAAATATGAGGAATCTGCCCTCCTCCCTTCTGGCTCATAGGTTAGGAGTGGGGCCCAGGAGTTAAAGCACTCTTTCAGAAAGTCTGAGTTAGACTTCTCATGACAATTGGGAGTATTTATAACATCTTTTTTTTTTTTTTTAAAGATTTTATTTATTTATTTGAGACAGAGAGAATGAGAGAGAGAGCACATGAGAGTGGGGAGGGTCAGAG